CACCCCTCAACCAGACCATGCCCTCACCATTGATCCAGACCTTGCCCTCACCCCTCAACAGGACGTTGCCCTCATCCCTCAACCAGACGCTGCACTCACCCATCAACCAGACCCTGTCCTCACCAATGAACCAGAACCTGCCCTCACCAATGAACAAGATCCTGCCCTCACCCCTGAATCAGACCCTGTCCTTACTGATAAACCAGACCCTGCCCTCACCCCTCAATCAGACCCTGCCCTCACCCCTCAATCACACCCTGCCCTCACCCCTCAACCAGACGCTGCCCTCACCCCTGAACCAGACCCTGCCCTCACACCTCAACCGGAGCCTGCCCTCACCCCTCAACCAGACCCGGCCCTCACCGCTGACCCAGCCCCTGCCCTCACCCCTGAACCATACCTTATCCTCACCCCTGAACCAGACCGTGCCCTCACCCCTCAACCAGACCATGCCCTCACTCCTCAACCACACACTGCACTCACCCCTCAACCAGACCCTGCCCTCACCCCTCAACCACACCTTGCCCTCACCCCTCAACCACACCCTGCCCTCACCCCTCAATCACACCCTGCACTCACACCTCACCCAGACCCTGCCCTCACTCCTCAACCGGACCCTGCCCTCACCGCTGAATGAGACCCTGCCCTCATTCCTCAACCAGACCCTGCCCTCACCCCTGAACCAGACCCTGCTCTCAACCCTCAACCTGACCTGGCCCTCACCGCTGAACCAGACCTTGCCCTCACCCCTCAACCAAACCCTGCCCTCGCCCATCAACCAGAGCCGGCCCTCACCCCTCAACCAGACCCTGCCCTCACCGCTGAACGAGATCCTGCCCTCACCCCTCAACCATACCCTGCCCTCAACCCTCAACCAGACCCTGCCCTCAATGCTGAATGAGACCCTGCCCTCACTCCTCAACGAGACCCCTCCCTCACCCCTGAACCACACCCTTCACTCACCCCTCAACCAGACCCTGCCCTCACCCCTCAACTTGACCCTGCCCTCACCCCTCAAACAGACCCTGCCCTCACCCTTGAACCAGACCCTGCCCTCACCCCTCAACCAGACGTTGCCCTCACCCCTCAACCAGACCCTGCCCTCACCCCTCAACCAGACCCTGCCCTCACCCCTCAGCCAGACCCCGCCCTCACCCCTCAACCAGACCCCACCCTCAGTTCTGAACCAGACCCCGCCCTCACCTCTGAACCCTACACTGTCCTCACCCATGAACCATACCCTGCACTTGACTGTGACTCCATCCCTAAGGCTGGTTCACACAGAGTTTTCTGGAAGCTTGACCAGTGGTAAGTGAGCGTCTGTGACAATCTGTGTGAGCTATGTCCAGCTTCCCATTGGAGGGAGGAGGGGAGAGAGGAATGGGGGAGTGGGGCTAATGATCTGGAATTGTCAGATCTGACTCCTGAGGACCCCTATATCCATTTCCAGCTCTCAGTGATGGCTTGCTCTCTGAGGGTCTGTTGGGCAGACTCAAAAAACTTCCACTCTCGAGCACCCTGAAGGCTGAAGGAGTCACTTCCAGAGCCGTGTTTGGTGGCCTGCTGGGGAAAATTGCTACCGTGATCCCTTTCGTGAACATCATTGAGTGAGTAGCCCTGAAATAAGGCCCATTGGAGATCGGACAGTCCCAGGCAGTGGCCTGGAAGGAGGGCAGGGGTGGTCTGAATATGAGCCCAGGTTCAGTCTGAGCCCCTTCTCACAGTCTAGTAAGTAATAATGGCCCTCTTGAACCAGTAATTGCCCTCAGTCCAGAAGCATGTCCTGAGACCCCCAGCATCATCTTTAATCCTCCCAACAATGTTTTGAGGTCGATTTGATAATCCTCAGTTTACAGATGGAAAAACAGAGGCACGGAAAGGAGCCTGTACCCACACAACTAGAGTGATGCAGAGCAAGGGACCTAACTCAAATTTACTTAAGTCCAGAGTCAAGGCTTTTTTCACTACACATGGTAATTTCATTCTCCTCACCTGTGGAATCCTTTAGAACACAGGTGGCCTTTGATGTAAGCAAGAATGTGTAAGCTCCTCTCCTCAATTTCATCATCACTGTGATGTCCATGGAATAATTTAACATGGTTTTTCCCATGAGAAATGTGAGAGCTCTCTACACAAGGAACCATAATGGAAAGCTTGGTGCCAGTTAGCTGGAGAAGTCTGAGTCCTTCAGAGGGCTGGATCAAAGCTATTTCCAAGCTTCCTTCCCGCTCACATGCTTGCTCCTAACTTGAAGACGGACAGTTAGCCTTGAGTTTGATTTCAAATTCACCATTTACTTGCTGAGTGACCTGGGACAAGGCACTCAGTTTCTCTGTGCTTGGTTTTTCCATCTGTAAAAGGAAGATTATGGTACCCACAAAGAGAAACTGTTGGGGGGACAGGAGAGGACGTAAATCACCTGGCACAGTGGCTGGACCAGAAAAGAGGCTTACTTCCATCCTTTCTCCATTCTCCCTGACTTCCCTGATCCTCAGTCTTCCTGATAAACATTGTTGACTGAGCTTCCACTGAAGGTCATGGCCAGATGAGTGATTCCTAGCCATAAATGTTTATGAAAGACTTACTCCAGTTGCCCATACATCACTCACTCATCCACTTATCTATCCACCCATCCATTCATCTATCATTCCTTTGATCTAATCATTTACTTTTCCAACCCACTCACACACATATCTATCCACTCATCAACTAATCAATCCACAAAGTAAACCAGTGTGGAGTAACCCCTTTCTTTGTAAGTCTCTAAGTTGGCATACAGGATTCAAATATAACCAAGACACAGTCTCTATCTTGGAATAGCTCATGGACTTGAGATGAGGAGAAGGCCACGTGCATGTGCAGGATCTGACTCAGTGCAGAGGTTGACAAAGACTGATGTGTGACTCAAAACCCACCTAGCCTTTGCTGCAAAACTCCCCATCATGGGCAGCTCCACCTCTGGGATGGGTAAAGTTGTGTTAAATGTGGTTTCTAGGTTTTGTGCTACAGGACCTAATGTTTCTGCCTCCTATGATGCTCCCTGGACAGTGTGAAGATCACTCATCCCCGACTGCTGGATCTTGACCTTTTGAAGAGCCCTGATGGCAGCCGTTTCTATGTCACCATTCCTCTGGACATGATCCTCAATGTGAATGTGTGAGTGGGCTACAAGGGAGGATGGGAAGATGATTCACCAAAGAAGACTCTGATGACCATGGGGAGCCAAAAAGGGTACACTGGAGTCTAACAGACGTGAGCCTCCAACTTCAATTCTTTTGCTCCTATGGTGAGTGACCTTGGGTCACTTGGGAAACTCACTTGTCCTCTTTGATACTTGGTTTCACCTATTGGGAAATGAGATGAGTACAGGTATGTGCTAGATGGAGTGAGATGAGGCTGACATTCCTGGCAAGGAGAAAAGCCTCCTCTACCTTGGAATGTGGTAGCAGACTGTCTCCTCCACAGGCCCCTGGTCGGAAGTCTGTTAAAGGGGGGTGTGAAGCTAAACATCACTGCAGAACTCTTAACTGCGCAAGGTGAACAGAAGAATATCCCCCTGGTCCTTGACAGCTGCACTCACTCTGCGGGCAGCCTGAAAATCACCCTGCTTAATAGGTGAGGCCAGAGAGGTGACTTCTGCTCAGAGATAATAGGATGGGATGATGGATGGATGGTTGTGAAGATGGAACAATGGGAGAATGTATGAGTGGGAAGGTGGAAGAGTGGGAAGGTGGATAGGAGGGAGAGAAGATGCAAGGATGGGAGGATAGAGGGATAGATGAATAGGTAAATGGATGGATAAATAGTCACTTAGCCCTTGTTAGGCTGGACTCATCAATTTTCTGCTGGATTAGGCAACAAGAAATCTGAGTCCAAGTTCCATTTACCAGAGGGGCATGGAGACAGGTCCTTGCTTGAGTCCTTTCTTCCTCAGATAACTGTAATATTTAGCTACATTGGGCTTGTTGATAGAATTCACTAAGATAATATGTGTGAATGTGCTTTGTCCCAGTAAGGGGTAAAATAGCACTAGAGCTTAACTGGGTTACCGATCTCAGTTATTGTCACGAGAGAGACTGATTCCTGCATAGTAGGCAGGATTCGTCGTAATAACGGCTAACATTCGCAGGGCGCATATATTGTGCTTCACGTGTATCATCTCGTTGAATCTTCATGACCGCTACATACTATGCACTGTTCCTCCATTTATGGATTATGCATATAAGGTCTCATTGCACACCTACTATGTGCTGGAACTGTGTCTTTATTCTACACACATCTACTGTGTGCACTGCTGTGTAGGGTGTCACTCCCTTTGGATAGGCCCCTTGATGTTTGCTGGCATGCGGGTGTGGATGGACAAGGCCCATTCTCAGTTACTTGGTGCTGAGACTACCTTGGGCACATCGGCCCCTCTGAAGGCTTCTCCATACCAACACCAGGCCTCTGCATCACCCCATGGCTTTTCCCTTTCAGATTTCTCCTAATTTCGTTTCAAAGGCTCTTCAAAAGCCTCAGCAGGATCCTGCCTGGGCTGGTGCAGGGCAAGGTAAGTGGGTATAAATGGGGGCTCCTTATCCTTGGCTCTTAGAGCTTATCAGGCTCAAAGAGGCCCCTTTTGTGAGCTTTTCTGAGCCCCACAGTTTGATAAGTAAATTCCATCATCAGTCTATCTATCCATTGACCCATCTGTGCATGTTTCTTCTTTCCATCTTTCAAAATGTGTTATTTGATTCTTGCTCTACCAGGCCCTCACTGCAGCTGAAATGGACTTGCCCCTGCCCCAAGAAGCTCCCAGTCTAGCCCCCTATTGCACAGATGAGTACTCTTCCTGCCCAAGCTTGGGTGCCTCCTATAGCCAGAAACTCACCCCTCCCAAAGCAGCCCACCCTATTTAGAAACAGATGTCACGTCACAGGGTGAACAATGGCTCATTGTGTGGTTGGGCACTTCACACACAAGCTTTCAGTTTCTCTTTCTTCCCAGTTTGGATATGGGATTGCTGAGAATCAGACACTCTCAGATACAGAAAAAATGGTAGAAAATGTCCCCAGAGAATTGATCCTTGGGATGCTGCTACTCCCAGGGTCTCCTGGCAGTGCTACTTTGTCTAACTCCCGTCTCTGCCCCTGGATCAGGTGTGCCCTCTGTTCAAAGAGGTTCTCAGCAGCTTGGACACCACCCTGGTGGAGGCCACTGCCGGTAAGCCCTCACTCCTCCACCGCAGGAGCAGTGATTTCCCTGAAGGAGCTCTGTCCCTACACACCGTAGGATGCTAGCTCCCTCCAGCGTCAACTCTCCCCAGTTTTAGTTTCTGTTTTGCCTTGAATAATCCAGATAATGTTAGAGTTACAGCCCCTGTCTCTCTGTCATCCTTGACACTGAGAACAGCTGGGCTGGTTGGTATAGGAGGCAAGGTCGCCTCAAAGCCCTGCGTGGGGTTGGGCGAATCTCCAGTATTCCTATTCCCTGGCCCCAGGCATCAAGTACATGTGAGGTATCCCTGGACTCCTTCACACTGAGACCATCACTTTGGTCTTTGGTTGTTGTTTTTTCCTTTTCCAGACATGACGGTCTATGGGCTGGATTTTGCCATTAAGGTCTAAGCCTTCTGGGAAGGGACCGGCCTCTGCTTAGCTGGTGAGTGCTGCTACCCAGTCCCCAGGATTTGGTAGCTGGCTACCAGTTGGGGGAAGTAGGGGTTTGGTACAGTGACAACCAAACAGACAGAAGGAAGAGCCATATTGACGCACACAGAGATGCAAAGAGACATCCACATAAATGCTGACAGAAATGGAGAGACACAGACAGCAGTGCATCATAGCTACAAAGAGAAACACATGATCATGGATACACACAGACACACACACACACACGCTCAGACAAACAGGTGGTAACTCAGACAATCATATAAAGGCACACACTCACAGTAGCACACTTACACTCATATGCACACATTTACAGACTCAGCACACACAAGTACACGTGGATAAACAGACACACACACACACTCAAATACATTCACAAGGAGCCCCATGAAACTAGGCCTGGGCTACCATTGTGGCTGATACAAGACCCCTATCCCCAGGGTCTCAGCCTCCTCCCCTCCCTCTGGAGGCTGAGTTTGATGATGGGCCAATACCAACAAGAGCCAGTGATCTTGAGTCTCTATTCTGATTGGGGTCTTCTCCCAACAGAACCATTTCCAGCTCTTCGATCAACTCCCTGCCCAGCTTCTGAGGGCTCACAGAAGGCTGTCCCATGTTCTGGACAATGAAATGGCCACTGTTTGAAGACCAGAGCAGCATGCTCTCTGAGGAAACTGCTCCCCCTCCTTTATCATTAGGCATGTGTTGTAGTCCATGTTCTTCACCAAATTAAATTGCTCTTCCACTGCACGGGGAGCCTTGTCATTCTTAACCATCACTTGAGGGCTCATAGGATAGAAAGAGCCCTGGTCTGGGTGGTTTGAGCCATAGAACAGAGGTTGCACCTTACAATGGAGATCTTAAACTTCTTAAGCAGGACAGGGAGATGTCCAGATGAGTGTGGATTTCAGGTTTACTGCTCTGGTGTCCTTAGGAAGGATGGACAGAGAGTTGGGGGTAGATGAAACACTCTGGGCAGAGATGAAGACACACCAGTTACTACACAAGAAGTGAAAACGGCATATTTGAGAGATGTTCAGGAGGTGAACCTGGAAGGGTGAGGGAGCAGCTGAGGCTCCTGTCCATGTATTGGATTGAGGAGCCTGAATGTAACCGGGAATTTTGGAGGATGAATTGATTCCAGTGGGAAGATTATGCCTTTAGCTGTGGCCACTGTGCATGGATTTGCCTGTGAGACCCCAAGGAGGACATCCAGGAAGTTGACAGATACACAAGTCATCAAGTACTCTGCTTTTGCTTACTTGTATCAAGTTGTACTGACCTCTCTTCTGTTCTCAGCATGGGGATGATAGAGATGACAATGAGGAAGTGTAGGAGGAAGGACAAAGTGGTCTAATGTGTTTATTGCCAAAAGTTTGAGAAAGATAGGCATAGAGAGGGGTCATTGGAGTTGTAAATAAAAAGATCATCAATGCCCTGGAGGTGAGTCATACTTTTGGAGGAAGAAGTCTGATTTTCAGGAACTGAGAAGAGGAAGGGATGTAAGGAAGCTGAGACTGTGAATGCAGAAAAGATTTATCAAAAACTCGAATAAAGAATAACAGAGCTGCTTGGGCTGGGGAAGTTGTAATCTCAAATAAAAACCTTGTACAATATCATTATTTGAGGTCCTTAGAGGACCAGTCCAACCCGTTCACTCCACAGATGAGGAGACTGAGGCCTTGGGGCATGTGAATGACTTGAACAAGCTCACAGAGTGACAGAAAGGCAAATCAAGGCCTGAAACATGCCAGAATTTACAGAAAACCAGGTCTGTTCCTCATTCAGAGACCCCATTGACCTTGTGAGAATGAGCAGATTCAGGTTGGTGTTTCTTAACCCCTGCCAAACATCTGTCATCATGCCCAGAGCCATCACTCTCCACTTACTGTTGCCACCAACCAACATGGCATCGTAGGGAGACAGTCCCATAGTTCAGAACTGCCGGAAGGCTTATCACAGGAAACCAGCTTGTGTCTTCAGGTGAGGATTTATGGGAGGAAGCATCGTCCAGGCTCACAGAAGCATAAGACCTTTGAGCTGAGGATGAGTAGTTAAATCCCTTAAGCAGCTGAATGATCATTGTGAATGTCACCTCAGCAGTGACCTGAAGGACAGAAGGAATTTGCAGACTGGAAACCAGCAGTCAGCACTGATTGGGCTTAGGGAGGATTCAGGAACTAGTTACCTTCATGTCCTTTCTGGGTAGGCATTAGGTCAGGACTGAGTGACTCTCATGGCTGAGGCCCCAAGAAGTAAAGTGAATGAGGACAGGCACATACAACTGGGACCATCAGCACTGGTCCTACTGCCCTCCGACCGTGGCACCAAACCGCATTCCTGCCTGGACACACAGCCACTGCCGATCTCTGGATACTATTTTCCCACTGTTCCCCTGGACTTCTTCCTACAGCCCACAGATGGGTCTTTCCCTCCCCTAACAATTTCAATTCCTAACTAACTAGCCTAAGACGCCCCTCGAAACAAAACAGTGTGGCAGGGGGCCAGGTTGATCAGAACACATTTATGACTTTTAAATAGTGACAATATTTTCACATTTTAAAAAGTCTCAGGCAGGATATCAGTAATGATAGCAGATTAAAGATCTCTGAAGTTCTCTCCTACATAAAAGCAATGATAATCCTGGGGAAAAAAAGTTAGAATGAATTTTTTCATAACTGTCAAAATTAACCACAGCTTGCAGCAATCTGGAGGGTGTTTATTCAAGAAAATTTGCTGAATCTTAGTGAGAACAGTGAGCTTTGTCGCATTTAGCTTTGCCTAGTCCCATCTCCCACTCTCGAGCTCCACAGTAGACTTGAAAACCAAAAGCCCACAATCTTGGTGAAAATCAGTAGCCTGGCAGCCACTGGGGGGAGGCAGAAGGAGATTAGAGAAAATTCAAAGCCCCACTCCCAGAGAATTGTCATTATTTGACCTGCCTGTTAGTTCCCTGGAAAATCCCATTCTCAAGGCTGTCCTTAGTTGACCTGACTCAGAGCTCACACAGTCAGTATGAATGGGCTTTTACCCAAAGATTTCTGTCAAAATGCTAGACAGACCTTAAGACTTGGTCCTCAGGAGTTTTTAATTCTCAAGCTATTTCACATTCAGTTTTCAGCCATTTGTCATAATGTCCTTTGAAGTGTTTCTCCAGGTTACTCATTTCAGCAGCCTCACCTTCAGGTAAGCTGATCTTGCCTGTAATTCTATGGGTTCACCTATCTTTCCAGATTTCACGATGGCAGTTGGCCGCATGACCTCAATTCTCTGATGGACCTGAGAAAGTAGTTGATTTTCAGTTTGTTGAGCTCTTTTCTTGCTGTGAGATTAAGAGTGACAGCTTCCAAGCTCTTTACATGTCAAAGCTGGAATTGGAAGTCTGGATTTTTTATAGTTTTCACCATTTGTTTCACTGGAGAATGTGCCCCCAGACTCCTCATGCTGCTGTCCTGAAAGTGAGACTCCTTTGGAAGTTGTTAAACATTATTTCTTCAAATTTATTTTCTGAAATACTTTTTTTCTCCTCCTGCTTTGGGTCTCTGATGATATGAAGGTAGACGTTTTGCAGTAGTCCCACAAGCCTCTGAGGCTTTGTTCATTTCTTTCAGCCGTTTTTTCTGCCCTTTCATATTGGAACATTTCTATCGATTTATCTTCATTTTAATTGACCACATCCTCTCCCATCTCATGTCTGTTGTTGTGTTTATCCGCTGAATTTATTTTTATTTTTACATTCCAATATTTCCACTTAGTTCTTTTTTAAGGTTGCATTTCTCTTCTGAGACTTTTGTCTTTCCATTTGTTTCAAAAGTGTTAGTACTTAATTCTTGGAGTATGGTGATAATAGCTTCTTTAAAGTCATGGTCTGTTAATTTCAATATCTAGATCTTCTCAGAGTTAGTACTTATGGATTACCTTTTCTCTTGGGGATTTGTCAGACTGTCCTAGTCAATTGTATTTTAAGTAATTTTGGACTGTATACTAGACATTTTTCATAGTATGTTATGAGACTCTGGGCGTTATTTAAGTCCTATGGAGAACATTGAGGGGGTGGGTGTTTGTTTTAGGATGGAGTTAGCCCACTTAGAGTCAGGCTAACCCAGTTCGATTTAAGTTCCAACCTACCTTCAGTGGGCTATGTTTTTCAAAGGAGATTTCTTCCACTGTCTTAACTCCTGGGGGTCACCCATTCCTACATTTTGGATCAGAAAAAGAGGACTTCTTTTGGAGCATTTGTGTTTGTACTTGTGCATAGTTCCCATGAACCATGCTTATTTGAGTCCAGGCTGAAAGTTATGGGAGAGATAAAAACCCAGGAAACTCACCTATGGATCATTCATTCTTTAGGTTATGACTTACTTCCCCATCCACCATATAATTTTCATAATCCTCAGAGAATAACCTTATCCATTGTGTCACAGGTCTTAGTTTCATTCGATAGGAAAGAAGAATGAAGGATCTTTACTCTATGTATTTCAAGTCTCCAATCTTTAAAACCAGATGGCTTATGGCAAATGACAATTGACTACAAGATAGTTAGCCAAGCATCCTCACAATTGTAGCATCTTTACTAGAAAAATTGACTGCAGCCCCTGGTGGCTGGTATGTAGCTATTCACCTGGAAAACGAGTTGTTTTCAATACTCATCAGATAACAAGTTCAGAAGCAATTTGCATTCACTTGGAATGGACAATGGCACACATTCAGTCTTGCCCCTGGTCTCTCTCATAGAATAATCTGCAAGGGTCCTCTCCTATTGATGTTCTAGTTATTATTTATGTATAAAATATCATGCCTAAATTGAGTGGCTTAAACTATAATATTCATTTCCTGATGCTCCATAGTGTCCGTGGGTCAAAAATTCAGGAAAGCTCAGGGAAAATTCTGGTTCATAGTCTTGCATGTGATTGCTGTTTTACTTATAATCACTTATTTAATCCTCCACACAGCCCTTTGAGGTACGTACTGTTATTATTGACCTCCCTTTGCAGAAGCACAGAGAAGTTGAGTTTATTCCTAAAGTCACCCAAGTGGGGCAGAGTGGGGCTGGAGCAGGAGTCAGGCAGACCAACAGGAGGGAGATCAGAGGAGCTGTCAGTCATCCTCCATCAACTAATCCTCCCAACAACCCTTGAGGATTGCATTGTCATCACCCCATTTCACAGATGCAAAGTCTGAGACACAGAGAGATGGATTCACTTGCCCAGGACACACAGCTGGTAAGTGTGGAGCTGGAATTCGATGCCAGGCTGTCTGGCTTTGTAGGCTCTGTCTTTTCTCTGGATAAATTTGCTCACAGCCCTTGTATTTCATCCTGGGCTCTGTGAGCCTACCTGGTACAGTGGCATTTCCTCTCGTATTCTACAGAGGCCACTAAAGACTCCATGGGACACCCATGGAAAATATCAAAGATGTTCCATGAGCTGGAGTTGATCCACCAAGGGGAACAAGCACTGCACATGTCACCATAGGCATGAATGATTTGGATCACTAGAAGGCCAGCACTGGCCCCTCAAGCCCGGAGTCAGACCAAGAAGCGGTGTTCTCAGGTTAAAATGATAAAGTCAGGTCAATTGCAAGGACCAGCCATTTGGAGTCTCACCTGCCTCAAATGTCAGCCAGTGAGGAGAAGGAAATATGCTTGAGTCTGATACTGGCTCAACACGAGGTCGACAAAAGGGAAGCCATATTGTATGAAACAAACCATATTGTAAATTTGAATGACGTCTGACTAA